CCAATCCGTCGTCAACGTGGATGCCCAGAATACCGTGAATACCTGTTGGTTGGGACGACTTGGCACTGTACTGTGGTAGTACAAAAAAAGGGTCTAGCGGGGAGTTCAGAAACCCGAGGTTCAGTAAGGCAGTCCTAAGCTCTTGGTACCACAATAGAGGTGCGTTCACGAGACCGTACGCACTCTTCAGCAATTCCAGCACTTCATCGTCTCTCAAGTTCAGCTTTTTCCGCAGTTCAGGGGGAGGTTCTACTCCTAGGACGCGAGAGTCTTGACGACTTCCTCGCAAGAAGGCCGTTGAGATGTCGAACGACCTGACGGTCCACTGACGGGATGCGATGACTTGTAAGGTTAGCATCCGACTGTCTTTACCCAATTGGGGGAGTCGTCTCAAGGTAGATTTTCAATGTTGGGGTCCATGCAACCCAGAATGACTAGGCGGGCCTTCGCCTTTCGGTTCGCACCGAGTGAGGCAGCTTCAATGCTGTCAATTGGTTTCCAAGTCAGGACCCATCGAGCCTTCAGGAGTTGTCCTTCTGGGATCCGATGGCGCAAAATGCGACGAACGGTCTCGGTCGAGAGCCACATGTGACAGCTCTTTGTCCTTGGCCTTGTCAAATTGGATCACTTCTTCTGGAGTAAGGTCTTTCATTTTTACCTCGACTCTTTGTCTCTTGGCCGCGGAGGCGATGAAGATTTCTTGTTCACGGGGATTCTTGGCCAAACACTGTTTCAAGTCCTCCATGGACAATGCAATTTCACAAACTACACCATTGGGTTGCGCTTCTTCCTTCACGAGGCAGGCGTCTTGCGTAGACAGGGATTTCAACTTGTCATGATCTGTCCGGAATACGTTTTTGGCGGTCCAGATTTCCGGGAGAATTCGGTGGCCATCTGGGTCGTTCTTCCAGGTCTCCGAGATGGTGAAGACGGCACCGGACCTGTACTTACCTATGGTTTGTCGGCTGGATTCGATGGCTTGTGACGGTACTGGACAACAGGGATCTATCATTGGATTGAACAAACTAAGTCGGGGATTACGGTGGTATCGTGTCAACAGGTTCCCAGTGATCTTCCATTCATCTTGATCGGAAGATTCTACATATAAGTCATCATCAGTGTCAGGTGGGATGGGGGCCTGAGATGCATCTGGCATCGGAGTTTCAAGGTTTGGTTCATCACGGTTGTCGATCGTCTCTTGTTCGAGATCATGCAGGTTCAGTGTCGGGTTGCGGGGCTGTTCGGACAGAGATTGGTCGATGTGGCTCATCTTCGTTTTCATATGACCTATAGGTCGCTCGATCTCGACTTCTGCAGGCTGACTTTCGCTGACACGCTGGGGACTGTCCAGGCTTGGGCTTGTCATGTCATGGTATTGGAACACCCCAGAGCCTTGGATCGGTGAGTCCTGTAGACTCCTGGCGATGAGTTGTTCATGACTGGACAACAAGCGCACGTGCTCTGGAGCGATCCGAAGCAGCCTTGAACTTGTCAGGTGAGCAATCCAAACTGCATTAGGTTCTGTCTGTCATTAGAATCCGAGCAGGTCCCAGCCATTTGCCGGGTTCCGTTTTGGAGTCTTTCCAATACATTACCCAATCGCCTATGGCAAACTTCATTCGGTGGGGTCGTGACCGTGCATGTAACGCTTTCCTCAAAGATGAACAATGGTCAGTTCTGACAAAGGCGATTCGGGCGGCTTCTCTCATCAACGTCTGCTGTTGGATCTTAGTCCCTTCCGCGTTTTCAAAGTCGGCATTTTGTGGATCTTCATCTATGATGCTTCCCGGGAGTCGACGGGGTTTGCCCAGTACTATGATTTCAGGGGAATAACCTGCATGTCGGGACAGTGCATTCTTGGCGTTACATAATTCTACGAGAGCCTTCTCGAACATGCCTGCGTCTTGAATCGGTCGTTCGGCGTGGAATTTGTCATGGTCTTCAGTATGGAACCGTGTCTTTCGGTGCGGCCTAACTGCCAGTGGGCCCTTGATTGAAATGGATATAGGCATGGATGTTATTCTCTTGCAAGAATTCACTGAACATGGTGCTATTGGCTTCTCCACAGCTGTCAAACATAACAGACTTCGGCGGTCCTGCCCAACGGATCCATGCGTTCTGAAAACAGGAAATGAGCCCTCTTGATGTTCCCTGATGATAAGGAATAGCTACCTGGAAGTTGCTGGCGGAATCGATAAAGTGAAAAAACAAAACACCTGGTTTTGGGATGACTTCCACTCTACAGCATCAAACGACACTAAATCATTGAATTCCTTGGGCTCAGACAAATGTGCCGGACGAGCGATCTTTGGTGCCTGTTGCTCATGGCACACGTCGCACTGGAAGTCACGCAAGGCTTGGATGACAGTTTCCGACCACCCTTCACTCTGAAGCGCCGCTTTCTTGTGCAATTTGATGATCATGGTCTGCATTCTGTCTGGCAAAGCTCGAAACATAGGCCCATGGATTGTCGTAGGTTTGTCGGGCGTGTCTGGTTGGTTGGATGTTTCCGAAGGGACCGACACTTGTCATCACTTGCAACCGGGGTCTCCTTGGACCGATCGGACTCGGCAGGCAGGCTCATACGGGCTTGTTTAGCAGGTGGTTCTTCCGGAACCCTCATAGACGGCTCATCTGGAGCCGTGGCGAACATGGTCACCAGGATCTTGGTGGGAGTTCCCCCTCTGATTTGCTGACGGTGGGAAAGGGTATCCCATTGTTCCCATTGGGCATCCATGACAAATTGCTGGGTGTCCCTTTTTCGTCCAAAGCTCCTACAAAATTGCATCTTGGCTGTACATGTATGAGGCGGGACACGGAGTCGATTGATCCCCCTGCACAGATCTACCCCCGATGGACCAATCAGGAAATACCTGTTGTATCTTGGCTAATATTGGACCATTGGTTAACCATAGTCTTCCGACCCTGGGTGTGATCTTGTCCGCCTCTTGGAGAATTTCCTGCATAGCTGGCTCGCTTCGCTCGGCGCGAGAGGGACAGCAGACTGTGGCGTTGGTTGCGCCGGCGAGGACTTGCCGTCTATATACGACGTCGCTTGACCTCTGGTTCTCCTTCCAAAACAGCGAACACGGGCTTGACAATTTGCTCTTCCTGGTTTTGGACTAGTTGGATGATCTGACTAATTCTGCGGGCGAATGTCTGTGTATACAGCTCGGTGTATCGTGACACTGGCATTCGGCCAAGTCCGGGCACTCGACAACTTCCGGCAATCTGCAAGTGACAGTGAGATTCTTGGCATTGCCATTGCTCAACTGATCGGCTGAGGACTTGAGACGTGGTCAAAATCTGCATTCGTTTTCTATTGAAAGAGTCAGGGTGGCTCAGGTGACGCAAGTTCCCCCCCGGTACACATTGCAAACGACATTTCCCCTTGAAACGCGCAAAATCGAGCAAATACAGTTTCTTCTCAGAGAGCTTGAGCGAAAGTTCAAATCCAAGCTTGCCAAAAAAGACCGTGTCAGTCGCGGTGTGGATTGATGCATCGAGCTTGCGAAACACAAATCTTCACAAAGAACAGTCCTAATGGGATCATTACAGCTCGGTTGCATTCGACTGTGCTGCTATTGCCAAATCGAAAAATCGTTCTGCGTGGAACTTCTTTCACCTGGATATGGGATGGCAACTCATTCAACAAGTCCTGAGCCTGATGTTCTCCAATTACTGTTTGACTAGCTCCTATAGATCAACTATGCCAAAAGCTCCATGGCTTATGAAGGAAGTGATCGCTTGGTCCGGTGGACCTGTCATCCTAGGCTCAATCGGAAGGCTTGTCGATCGGTGCAGCTTGCTCCGAAGTGAAGGCATCAGCCTATTAAGCATTCCCTCATGACTTGATGGTATCCCTTGTGGGGTGAAGACACATGTGTGGTGTGAGCATGCCCCAAACTCATGAACACGACTTGCCAATCATTCCGAGTGGCTGGATCGATCAGGATCACGTCTGCCTCATGCAGGACATCGGACTCCTGGAGAGCAAGTCCTGCGAAGGCACCGTCTTTGGAGGCACCAGTGGTCGCGGAGCTCCCTTGCTGTCTCAACGGGCATTCGGCTTTCCAATGTCCCTTAGCTCCGCATCTGCGGCAGTTGGATTCAAGGATCCGTTGAGCCAACGGCTTGCGAGGACGGAATTCGAGCCGGTCACCCTTGCCCCTGCGACCTTTGCCAAATCCTTTTCGAGATGGATTCCAAAACCCGCAACCCTTGGCCTTGTCCGTCAACCGCTTGCGGGCTTCAACATAGACATTCATGCATGCAGCCATGTCAGGGTCGGAGTGCAGTGTGTCAACCAACCCTTCTTCAAACTGCATGCACACAATGGCGTCAGGGTCGCCATCCTCTGCCCACTGTTCCAACTGTCCATCTTCCATGGGGTCGCCAAAGAAAGTCGGCTCATCATCCCCCACGTTCGCTGTCGGACCGGTCATCACCATGGCTGGCTCTTCATCGGCAAAGAACGTGGTGGTGTCATATGGTTTTGTCCGGATGTTTTGAGCCTTCCCGGCATGGACCTCATGGAAAAAGCGACTTCCCAAGAGCTTGAGATTGGCCACAACCTCTTTGTAGTCCAGGGATCCCTGCGATTCGACAATCAGGCGCTTCTTGTCATCGGAGCTCAATGCATGCACTGTTCCGCAATAGGATATATGCACGGAATTCATCTAAGCTGACTTTCATGCTCTTCAGTTCTTCAAACTGGTGATCGTGTCTTGCCAGATAAGATTCGTGAGTTTCATCTCCCTTCTGAACTGTGCTGTATATGGCTCTTTCAAAGCGCTCAAACTTGTCTTCAAGGCGTGATTTTCCCCAGATGCCGCCCAGGGCCTCCACGATTGCTCGAACACGGTCGTGTTCGAACGAAGGACCTTGGGATCCACCTGAGACACGCGTTGAAACGCGCTTGCATTGCAATCCTGGGTGCCAGGTGCTGAAGATGTTCTGATGGCCATAGCTGCGCGAGGAACTCGACTTTCCGAGTCCACTCGTCGTTCAGATCAGTCTCTCCAGGCTTGAACGATGGCACTTGATTGTAAGGCAAGTGGCTTTGAGAAATCTGCTAGCTTTGGGTGGATCAAGCAAACAAGGGCTAGCAAGAAAGCCTACATTCAAGCAAAGCCTGGGGAAGGCCAAGACAAGGTCCATTGCTTGGTGAATGTTGGTCTACCAGCTGGCCCCAAGCAGGACAAGGTCATGGATGCTGTCTTTGCACCACTGGTGGAGCTCCCAGCTCCAGCCTCCGACATGTTGGCAGCTCAAGTTCAACTAACAACGTGCCCAGCTGCTTCCAAATGTACCACTTCGGCAGCTTGGGCTCCGCTACCAGTGTAGATTGCTTCACCCCCACTTCACCAAACTCTTCACCGAGCGCGCCCCGCGCGCTGCTTTTCCTGCACCCTCCGTAGTCGTCCTATGGCTCTGGTCGTCCACGACCAACGAAAGGATCGTCCTCAATCCACCACACCTAAGCCCTCCGGTGAGCCTTCCTCGAGGCGGCAAAGGCAACGGCATTCAAGGGATGAATGCACTCCACAAGCACCGGTCTGCAGGTGAACAAGGTTTCACGAGAAATCACAATATATATATATATATACGTATTTTTATAATATATATATATATATACACACCTGTACAGCCAATACCAGAAGAAAACCTATAGGGTTCTCCAAAATACCCGGGGTTTTCACTGGAAACCGGGGTTTGCGTTGTTTAATCGTTTTCATGATATTAAATAAAGTGTCAACAAACAATAGAACGAAATGGAACGAAACAATAAATTTGATAACCACGCGGATTGTTCAGCATGCAAAGGAATGCAATCAACTTTACCCCAGCAGGCAGATTGAGAGAATACCCGGGGTTTTCCGGGAAACCCAAAATTTTCCCCATTTTTCAAGAATACCGGGGTTTGTCCGCATACCCGAGGAACAGTTAGGGTTCCGGCTGGCAGGGTATATATTAAATAATATTAAACTGTTGTTATCACATCAGTTGTCCACATCTCGTGGCAAGGACGACAGTCATTCAACCGAATGGGATAAAGAAAATGACAAAAAGTTCCATATTGATATTATACCAGGACTCTCCAACAGGCTGTTTCGAGACCCTCACAGGTGGTTTCTGGGCACCTGTTATCACGAAGCACCTGGCCAGGAGGGTCCATGTATTGATATTCTACTTGCTAAGACTGCAACCACCGAAACACCGAAACACCTGGTGTGCCGGACGGAACCTGGTTTTCCGGATCGACGCTTTGACCGTCGAGCTGTTCGAAGCTTTGACCGTCGAGTTGTCCTGGAGAAACAGCCTACAGCCTCGAAAACATGGGGAATGGAATTGCAGTAATTTGGGAAACCAAATCAAAACCTGGGCTGCTGCGATTTCTTGTTGGTTGAGTTCTGTTTCATATCTATTTGGCCTCATACTCTCATTTCAACAACCCCGGGTACCCGGCGCAGGGCGCAGGGCATGGTGGTGTTCAAGAATTTGCGCAGGTGGTGGTGCTTCTGCTGTTGCTGCTGGTGGCAGTGGGTCAACCCGGGCCCCAGGTTTTGACCTGAAACACACTTTTCCAAGGAGTTGACAAGGAGTGCCGGATTGGTGGGGGTGGACATGCAGCCCTTCCCTTGCCTTGGGGCCTGCAAAACACATCGCTGCCCATCGAATCTAAATCAATCTCAATACTTCAGGTGTCAAGAAGAATCTGAATGGGCCAAAGCAAGTATTTTTTCTCGGGCACGAGAAGTAAACTCGCATGCGTATATGCCCATGCCCGTACCGCCAAACGGCCAAACCATCTGCGTGTTCTCACTGGTCGCAGTCTCGTTCACAAAGACGGCTGAGACCAAGCTCAGCAAGGCGCCAGCGATCGGGAGGTAGATCATCAAGCGGCGGACGTAGAACCTCAAAGGACAGAGACGAGAGGAACCTCTCTCAGCCGGGGGAAGAGAAGGAGACATCGATTGGATCTGCAACTAACCCGAAAGGACACTTGCAGCGGGGCCCGCTGCAGGGCTCGCTTCAAAGAGCGAAAGAAGAGGAACCAAAGGAAGGTTAAGGCATATGTACAGGTATATTATGTCGTATGCGTTGAGCAGTTTGTTTATACCGCGGGAGTCTGGTGTTTTCGTCAAGGGACGCGGACGATGCGTTGGAACTCTTTGGACTGCAACCGGAGAAGGAGTAGGCAAACCCTACTCTTCCTTTTTCTTCAGGTGAACCCCAAAACAAAACAAACAGTTTTCATGAGCATGTTAAGATTCACCACTAAATGACCATAAATAAGCTCTTGTTTGCATGTGAAACAGCACGCGCTGTTTGTAATATGTCTGTGTGATCCTTTGGGTCATCTACCAGAGAAGAAGGAGCTCCGCGTGCGGATCTTTTCGCACGACATGATCAGGGGAGCAAATCAAAGAGGCATAATTGATTTGCTCACAACAATATGCACAATGTGCTGTAAAAACTTGTCCTTTTCCGCTGTGATTTCTTCAATGATATATATATATACATATATGTAACTTAGGTGAAATGACAAAGAACTTGTGAACTATACCTCGAAATTCATGCAGCTAAGTCATGAAGATTTGCCCTACGTCCAAAAGGTCGTATGTCATGAAGCAAAAACTTGAAAACCCGTCAAAATAAGAGATGCCAAAGGTTGTCACCAATCATCTTCAATGCAGTTGATTTTACATTGACAAGCGTCATGACCTAAGACTTTGGTATCTAAACAATGGATAAACACTGGAGACATATGAATTTGAGAGCGAAAACACATAACTAGAGGTAAACTGTCATGAGTGCTTGCCACTGAAATTGTAGGTGTTACACTTCTACATGACTTAGACCTTTCCTTGGGAAAATTGTATGTGGTTTTGACGTACTTGGCCTAAGTCATCTGACCACAGTATAATATATTTGTTTAAAAAAAGAACAAGCTACATAGTACGCCTCACCACAAGAACGAGGTCCTAGAAAAGCTATGTCAGGACCATGCTTGCCGCTGGCGGCTACAAGCCGCAGCTGGAGTCATCATTGGACCAAGATGCTGATCCCAGTTGTTTTCGTCAATCAGCCACTTGCCCGCCTGCCAACATTCCCCGAGCTTCCATGATGTGCAACCAAACCTCATGCCTCATGACAGTGTGTGTTGCTACCATCGAAGCTGGGCGTTATAGATCACCACGCACAACGAGTACCAGTGCCACGACAATTGGAACTTGACAAATCTATCTGTGGCCTTCTTCCGTAGACTAGACATGTTCTTTAAACAGGAGTGAAGTGCCTCGACATATCAACGTAAGTCATCCGACTGCGGTGCATACTTCGTCTGAAGACTGCCAAAGTCGACTTTGGGACCCCGGCAAAGGCCGGTTCCTGTTTCTGCGGTAAGGCCGTAAGCTGTCTCTGTCCAAAATGCAAAATGATGTACAGTAGTATTGATCCAAGTGCTGCCCTGTTGCTGTGACCAGCCACAGGTTTTCAAGTATCCGTTGACCCACCAGCCGCTACTCACTTGCGAAAAGCACAGCGCAAAAAATAACTAAGCTTCCGGCCACCATGGCCATCCTTGGTCTTTGAGGGTCTTTCTCAGCCAAAATGCGGAATGCATGGTCGCTGCAAAAAAAAAGGGAGCTGATGGGGTCGCAGGAGCCATACCAAGTGCCAACACCCAGCACCGACCGGCTTTTTGGTTTCTTGCGTGATGAGGCACCAAGAAGAAGAGGTCAGGTGTCCAAAAACGGGCTCCCTGTAGGAGATGTTTAATGAACGTCCGACACGGACACGGACCATGTGCACTGGTAAAACGGTGTAGTGAGAGGGTTACCCACGGGCGACCGATCTCTATGGTCTCCATCGCTTGGTTCAAAGCATTCTCGTACTGAGCAGTCTCGTACAACGCATAAGGCCCAAGGCACAATCCAGTGATCACACCACAACTGAGGAAAAGACCAGATTCGGTGGCTCCTGAGCAAAACCACGGCTTTTGAACCTTATGACCTTCGTCTATGACACTCCGGTTCCTGAGCTGGAAGTGCAGCTACAATTACAAGTCACAACGAACACCCAGCAGTACACCTACCTCCAAACACCTGGAGAACAAGTTCAAGGATCTTGACCGCTGTCTGTGCCGGGGTGTCTCTGCATGTCTCTGCTGTGTATTTTTCTTCCGTTCGACGAGCTCGCGAAAGAACGTCCTCGATTGAGCGACAAGGCGAAGTCCAAGGAAATGGGAATCTGCATCGACATGCCAATGAAGCCAGCTGCGCTGTTCCAAAGACCTCACGTCACGGTCTGCGAAGTTCGCCGCCGGTCGTACGGTCGTGGGTCGGATGCCCCCACGTGGGTCGGATGGGATGGACGTCGTTTCGGTGGACAGCGATGACGGAAGCAGACCCGGCTAATCAACCCACCAGGCTTCACATGGGGTCACATGGGGTCACGGTTTTGCTCCATGGCCGCCCATGGCCACAACGATGTGAAATACTTAATGACACCACGATCCCTACACCACCGCAGACTGTGTAATGTTGAATCTTGATTAGTAATAAGAGTCCTCTATAATGCTAAATTTTGGAAAAATATTTATTGACACCCTGTTGACACCCTGTTTGTTTTAAAGGTCCTCTATTATGCTAACTTGTTTGGGGATCCTAATTTTAAGTATCTGAAAAATATTTAGGGTTAATTATATGTTCTTTAAGAAATAGAAATATTAATTCTTAATACTACTAAGCCAATGGTTGGTTTTCTGAGAGTATTGCTAAGTATAGGTTTCCATAGTTCTTCTTCAACACTGACAGCTTCCCAAAACCATCAATTCCCTACTCAATCCTTTATGACAAGATTGTTCCGAAACAAATTTTCAAGGTAGTCCAGGAAGGCCCGTGATCCTTAATAATGAATTTGTTTTAAGGGTCCTCAATTGTGCAAAGTTTTTTCCTGAAGAAAAATACAAATAGCAATTCATCACAGTTGATCCTCATAGTGTTATAAGTAGTGCCACTACTACTACTACTACTACTACTACTACTACTACTACTACTACTAC